AGGGGGAAAAAAAAAGCTCTTCTGTCTAAATCCTTAATTTTTTTTATTTTTTTTGGTGGGACCCTCACTGGTGGCCGGGGATCAAACTGGCGCTGCAGAGGCTGCGGGAAGTCTCGCAACCCAGCGCTCAACCGCTGCGCCACCAGGGGAGGCCCTAAATCCTTAATTTTTATAAGTGAAGCTACTACTGCAAATGTATAAGGATCTCAGATACAGTAGATATTTCACTGTATGTATTCTCTAGGTTCAGCCATCACAGATATATTACTTTCTCTCCTGATTATTAGCTAGAATCTTTTCTATGAATATCTGTAGTCAAACACTTAAACTGGAATCCAATCTTTCTTGTCTACTGCAATCCAATTACTGGATTTTCAATATGAATTGTTCACAAATCAATTTCAATGTCAGGTACCAAACTTGGTTCTGATATAAAGATATATATCAGGGGCCTCCCAGGTGGCGCAGCGGTTGTGCACTGGGTTGCGAAGCTGCCCACAGCCTCTACAGTGCCGGTTCGATCGCCAGCTGCTCCCCGGCCATCGGAGGTGGGGTCCCACATGGCGCGCAGACCTCTCCTGCCGCCCGCTGCTGCTCCCCTCAGCAGTGTACCTCAGTCCTTCTGCCTGGTCTGCTCCCTGCTCTGGCTCTGGTGAATTCTCTCACCCTCCCGCGCTTCTGACTGTATCCAGTGCTTGTATAAATAAATAAAAAATAAATCTTTAAAAAAAAAGATATATATCAGTATATATAGTCTAAATTATATAGTATAAAGATATACTATAAAGTTGACTGGCTACAATAGAATATTCATCTGGCAACAATAGAAAAAAAAGATTTCGTTTAAGTCATTCTCTTCAGAGATCCTACTTTCTTAACAACTATTAAAAGTAGACTCATTTACTAATTTTAGCCTTTCTCCAAATAAAAATATTTTCAAGCACTTGGCACTTGAAAACACTCCTCCAACAGAAGTGGGAAGGTGACCTGGTATTTAGTCTCATTAACATACTCATTAATAATTGCACAGATTAGAACCTATCTCTGAACCCTGTAATTCTGCTCTCACTACCTGCTCTTCTAGGTACTTTCCCACTCTCTTTTTTTCCTTAATAAATGAACTCCTTTAAGACACAGAAGATGTACATTCCACATATCTCCACAGAACAATGAAGATGTAAAAGAAAAAGCAACATTTTTACCAAAATCTAACTACCCTTAGGTTTCAAAACCCTTTACATTTTATCATCATAATACTAACATCCCTAACATCCCCATTTAACAGGAAACACGGATTACCTTGCCAAACATCACATTACTGGTCAACGAAATAGGAATGTACTTTGCCCTAAAATATGCTGCTTCCCATCAATCATGATTAAACTCAACACCAAAAATAGGTGTCTTTACAGAACACAATGAAGGCGATCACAACAAACACACACTAGTGAGATAGATAGATAGATATATGAAACAAACTAATAAGGTTTTATATTTAAAGATATAAATTTTTATCTCCTAACAAAAAATAATTTCAAGTATGCCACGTGAAACCACACTTGAAAAGCTTCTGGGCAGCAGAATATATATCCTTTTCTCTCGTTGTCTCCGGGGTCTCGCCTTATACCATAATGCACTAATCTAAGGTCACCTACTCATTTACCCAAGGTAATCTCAGTTACCCAATATGTAGAAATTAGAAATACCCATTACTGAAATCTGGATATTCTTCATGAGAGTTTAGAGACTCTTAGTTTAGACCAACAATTCTCAACTATATCAATTTCAATGTCCACTTTCCACAAAGTATTTCCCAACTTCTTTACCACTCTGATAGGAAATTAATAACAATCTTACTATAAACAAATTGAAACAAATCCATACACCCCAAATAAAACATAAATGGAAAGGGAAATGAAAATAATTTACAATAAGATAATATACATTTTAAGATGTTAATCCTTATGCAAAGCTAGAAGACACAAATGTAAAGTTGCGATGTAATTGTCAAAAGCAAAACAACTTCTGGTCAGGCTGTGATCAAAACAAATTTTCCTTTTACAAAATAGTTGCATGTGGAAAATGCAGTCTCAGTTAAAAACATGACTTATATATGTAAAATGGAACCTAGGTTCAGGCAATTAAAAACAGTATACAAATGTCAGGCAGGATATTTCTAAGTCATGCAGAACATAGGGGACATTATCTGTTCAGGATAGTCCCATACACTGCAGAGTCCAACATCCCTGGCCCCCACCAGGCTGGTGGTTAGGCCCTACCATTCCATCCATTGAGCAGGGGAAAGCCCCCGAACATACCCCTAGAGGATCCACTGCCATTGACTCAATTCAGTTATGGGTTTAATATAAAGAATGTTTGGGAAGCATGGATTAGGTTTCCTGTGAGCTATGTGGTTATGGGCAGTGAGCTCTCTAAACTTATTTCCAATCTATCAAAAGGGAATAAACACAAGCCAAGGTTTTTGGGTTGTAAAGGTTGACTCAACAATATGTATGTAGCATAGGGTAGGTGGTTTCCAACATATGGCACATTGTGATGTGAAGGAGGGAGTTCCAGATTGAGAGCAGCAAAAAGTGACATGAATATGGAGGAGGAAGAAAATATAATAAGCATATAAAGTGAAATTTAACACAGCCATCTAGGGACATTTCAGAAAGAAGCCAGCAGGCCTATATCCCTCAGCAATCCCTGAAGGAATCAATGTATAATGGTGCAGTACAATAATTCAAATTCACAATGACCCCTAAATTTAACAGGCATGAAAGACATACATCTTTTAAGAGACTTCCAATCCGCATGGATGGAATTTTGTGAAGTTTTGATTTTTTTAAAAAGATTTATTTATTTAAGCATACAAGAACGGGGGTACAGGCCAGAGGTGTGGTGGCTAAGAGGATTCACCCAGACAGAGTGGGAAGCAGAACAGGCAGACTGACTGAAATACACTGCTGAGGGGAACAGCGGGTGAGTCAGGAGAAGTCAGCTGGGGATCAAACTCCTCCTGCATTGGCTGTGAACTGCTCCATAGTGCTGTGACTTAATCCCTTGCTCCACCAGGGAGGCCCCAAAGTTTTGATTCTTAAGATCAAAGTGACTGTATCTAACAAACATTATTGAAACTTTTGGGCAACGACCCTCTTCTAAATACTGTGAAAACACAGATAGCTAACAACACACCACACTTGTCCTCAAACATTTTACCATTCAGTAAATTAGATGTAGGTAAAACATAACCATAACTTCAGAGAATTGCACAAGCATTAAGTGGAAAATCATGTGATAAATCATGGGAGACAAGAAAAAATTATGAATTTTTTTACTGAAGAAAATCATAGGACATTGGAAAATGAGGATACTGTTAGGTAGAGTATGGTAAGCAAGTAATTAAAGGAAAAATGAAGTACAGGCAAAGGAACAGAGTATGAAAACACAGCTCTGTTCAGAGAAGAGTGGTGGGGAAAGGATACATAAGAAGCTGTGAAGGGCAGAGAAAATTAAGGCTGTGAAAACATTTCAGGATCTGTTCCTGGAGGGCACTGAATGATATTCAAATGAGTTTGTTTCATTGGGCCAAAGAGTTTTCCAGAAAACGGGTGCATATGTGACACACCTGATTCCCAATAAAGCTGCATAATGGCCACAAATCGAGATTCCAAGCAAATGAAAATTTTTATTGATGAAACTGCTGAAATTAAAATATATATTTGTATTATGAATAAGCCAAAAGAGCCTAATGCAAAAGCAGAAGCAGTTTCTAAGCTCATTTCTTAATCAAAATATTATCAAATTGGTTGACCTAGGGTATTTAAAGAACCCAGGATAACCTTACATGTCCTTGATTTTCTTTCAAGCAAGTCGGAAAACTTCCTAAACATGTATTTAGCAGTGCCTCATGTCACCCCTGGAAGGCAAAGAGGTAGGCTATGGTATTATTAGACTCCTTTTACTATGGGGAAACTGAGAAACAAAAAGAATAAATTACAGTATGGCCACAAAATAAGCTATTATGTTTTCTAGGACTTTAATTAAAAGCTCAAAGCCCCTATTTCATACTGTATTCTTTCTACCACCTGAATACTAGAATTACCTTGTACTATCATCTTAACTGGGAAAAAAGAGACAAGACTAAACTTTAAGATCATTTTCTCAATTTGATACTTTCACAAAAACATTAGATTTTTTAAATTCTGACTTTTTAAATTATGATGCCTACAAGAACTGCAAGGTGTAAGCAGTAATCACCCAAAAAATAGCTGTAAACAGCAGGCCAGATCAGGAATCCTGGGCCCAGCTTTTACTTTGTTATCAGCAAGGCTCAGGGAAATACTGGAGATGTGTATCTGTAAAACAGGCTTTGCAGATGCTGTGACACGAGGGTGACCTAAGAGGCCCAGAAAGTGGTATCACTACACCCACTGCTGCAAACATGAAATCCAATGCTTTCCTCCTCTGCCCCTCCCTGCATTGCACCACGCACCACGAGACTCCTGGCGCACACACTTGAGGCCTATGCAAGGATCCTCTCGACATTATCCTTAAATTGGGGTGCTTTGAAGATGCGCTGGGTCTTGGTCAACAGTGAGGGGGCCGGTGTGACCAACATGACTCAAAAGTTCGGCTCTTCAGAATCCCCGGCCTGAGGATTCTATCCGACACAAAGTTTTGCTATTTCAACGCTCGCATTGACATCCCCCGACCCCAAAGTCCCCTTCCACAGCCTCCCGCTCCGCCCTCCCTCACAGCCAGGTGGGCATCCCGGGGACGCAAGGAGGAAGGGTGAGGCGGCCAGAGCGCGCAGAGGTCCAGGTCCAGAAGCCACAGGGCGCGGGCCCGGGTCGCGCCCGCCCAGCCCGGGGCGCCCGGCTGCCCAGACCCGGCCTCGGCCAACGCGCCGCCGCCGCCGCCTATCAGCGGAGCGCAGGGGCGGGGCCGGCTGGCTCCGGGGCGGCTCGGCCAGCGGGCGGGGACGGGTTGGGGACCCACCGCCGCGCAGCTCAGGCCGCCGCGCGGAGACACCGGGCCCGGCTCCGGAGGGCGCCAGCGCGGCCCCGGGGCGCACGAGGAGCCGGCGAGCGCGCGGCCTGCCGTTGGCGGCCTGGTCCGCCGCGCCCGGCCGCCCGCCCACCCACCCACCCACCCAGGTGGGGTTCAAGCCCCCGGGAAGATGGTGTCCTGGATGATCTCCAGAGCCGTAGTGTAAGTGCTGCTCACGGCGCCCCGCAGCCCGCGCGGGATTAGGGGGTGAGGGAACGAGCCAGGGCCGAGAGAATAAGGGAAAACCCGGGGCCTGGTAGGGATGGGCTGGTCCGGCCTCGGGCCTGCCCGGGGGGCTGGGGTCCCTCGGCCTCCTCACCCTGGTCCACGTCGCTGCGGGGCTCCCTGCGGCGGGCGAGGGCCGGGCGGCGGCGGCTGCGGCTGCGGTGCGGCTGCGGTGCGGCTGCGGCGCGGCTGCGGCCTGGCTGCGCGCGGCTCGGCGGCCCTGCTCCCGCGGCGCTGGGTGGGCAGGCGCGCAGGGCTGGCGGCGCGCGCTCCCCGCTCCCGCTCCCCGCGCTGCGCGGCACCGCCCTGCGGGCCCGGGAGCGGCGCGCCTCGCGGCGTAGCCTGCGCAGGCTCCGCAGACGCCCAGCTCGGGCGGCTCAGGGATCCTCCCCGCGATGCGGCGGGAACGAGCCTTTGTGTCCCCTGGCTGGCTCGTTGCGGTGTCTCTCTTCCCAGGCTGATCGCCGCTCGGTCACGTGTGGTAGGAGGAGAGGTTTGTCTCAAAACCTGAGCCTGCTCCCAACTCAGATCCCTAGGAGGGGACTCATGTGCCCCCCTCCAGATTTACACCTTACGGAGAGAACTCTGCACTGATTGGTGACACCCACCTGCGCGCCCAGATCCCAGAATTTGGCCCAATTGGAGCGGAAATGTTTGCTAACCGGTTGGGAGGCTGCAGGTGCCTGTTGTTGCCTTTGTTGAAATTATCGGTTTATTTCATTGTGCCCTTACCAACAAGTGTGGCAGGTCCATACGAAAAAATAATTAGTTGAGTTGGGGTGTTTACTCCGTAAAAGGCATTGGTTTGGCGTCGATATAAACTAATTTCTACTCATTCGACCCCTCTCCCACCCCCCCCAAAAAAAAGTCACAAAGTAAACAGCAGTGACGTAGTTCCAGCTGGCGGCCCCTGGATTCATTATTCATGAACTCCCTAAGAGAAATATTATCTCAGTACCTTTATGGAATGTTTCTGAGAGATGGCAGATTTCTCTGATTAGCTTTAGAATGTGGGTAAATCAATAACATCAGCAGATCTTTTATTTCGTTTTTCACTGGGGAAAAGGAATTAAATTTTCCTTGAGTTTTGTTTTTAATTTTGTTTGCGAGTGAACCAATCGCGTAGTGGTCCTGCTCAACGTGATTTGCTTTATTCAATATTTGCCGTTTTGTAGTTTTAATGCATTTTGTCGTTTCTCAGTACACTTTCTAGTTTTGAAGTTTCAGAGCTTCCTTTGTTCATTAGTACAAAACTGAAAATCAAGAAATAAACAACAGTTTAACAATGTCTTCTGATTGTTTTTATCCCTTGGGGCTCTCTCTGAATCTGTCATTTACTAATACAGGCAATACTTTCTTGAACAAGTAGATGTCTGTCAACTGTTGTCTGTTACTTTAAAATGAATTGCCCCATTAGAAGGTTTTTTTTTTTTTCAATTTGCTTGATTCTTTTGACCAGTTTTTAATTGATAGTAAAATTTTGTAAAGCATCGATTTGGTTCGCATTACACAAATTGCATCATTAACTATGACTGCCTTTTCTAGGTGTTCTCTATAACAAAGGTTAGTGACACATAATGGTCTTAATAGAACTGACAAGTTCAGATAGTCCAATATTCACAATACAGGTTAGATGTCAAGTCTTGTAAAAGTTACACCCAGTGCTATAGGGTCTACACAAGGAAGGGATTGTAACTTGGAGAATTAAAAAAAAGGTGGGGGGGATTATATTTGAAATGGGCCTTAAAGAACTTCCCACATTTAGAGAGCCAAAAATGAAAGGTCGCCAGATAAAGAAATCACTGTGAGCCAAGGCACAGAGGAGGGAAAGTACAGATAAGTTATAATGAATTTGAGGAAATGAGAAGAGAGAAATCTGGAAAGGTAAACTAGGGCCTGTTTTAAAGGAATTTCAGGAAGAAGTGATAGCTTGCATTAGACAGCAATGACTTTGCTTTGGAAGATGGTCGGCAGTAGAGACACTGAAGACAAGGGAGGCCACTAAGATAGCCCCCCCACATACTAGAGAGAGGGGGATTATAAAGCCTGCGATGCCAGAAGGTAGAATTTAATGTATGAGTCAAAGGACAGGGAGCAAAAATTTCTTGGAAATGTATTTATCAAATGGCTGTTAATGTATTTCATGAGTCATCGCAGTTGTCAGGAAATAAAAATTTCATTTTATTTTGTCCCTTTGCCTCCTCAATTTCTGTCTTTAAGTTTGGAATGTTTTCTGCTCCCTTGCTCACACTATAAGAATTTATAGAATTTATCTATATTCTTTCTAACCCGCTGGGACAGGCCTACTAGTTCTGAGTCTGCATAAAAAGACAATTCCGCAGCATGAACCCTTGAAGGCATGCACACCGGAAACAAGGAACCTGCAAAACCAAAGCCCTTTTATGCTTGAGCACTTTTCCTCCAAAATATGCTGGTGTGACTCTGGGGAGAAGAGCTCTGACTTTGGGCTCAGACCTGGAAGTCAGTCCAAAGCTCTGTGGTCCTGGGCAATATACTAAGGTTATATTTACCTTCTTAAAATTGTTGTAAATTTTAGTTTAAGTAAAGCACATCAGATATGGTGCCCAGGCTTTATTGTGTGTTTAAAACGTAAAAGATACAGAAATGGAATTTTTTTGGGGGGGGAGAACCTGAGGGATGGGAGAGTGTTGTAAGATGGTATAGGAAGAAATATCATTGGACTAATATCAGGAAACCTAAAATTTAGTTATTTATGTATTTATTTAATATATATTTTACATCATTATTTTTAAGAAATGTAAAATTAAGAACTAGCTTTAGTTATAGTAATTAGGTGAATGATTTTGAGGGAGCCTTTTCTGATTGTAGACTCATTTTCTTTCTCTGTAGAGGTAAAAGGATCTGATAATCTCTAAACTCTTATACAGCTCTAACATCCTCAATGTCTGAAAGGATTTTTTTAGTATTTCCCATCTGTTTAAAATCCAATTAATTTAACTTTACATGAAAGTGGAAAGGTTAGCTAGCAATTATTAAGGAATAATAATCTAAGATGTCCAATAATATTACATTTGTAGGTAATACGGTAATATACATACCTCACCTTTTGAAATATGACACCCACCTGCTGAGGGAAATCGAGTTTTTTCTAGCTTTTCTAATCTGTGTGTTTGTGTGTGTGTGAGTATGTGTGTATGTTGATACTTAGACAGACAGCTAGGTAGGTAGACAGTCTGAATTCAAATATCAGCTCTGCATTTATTGCCTATAACTTACCCCATATGATTAAATGCATTCTTGTACATAATGTCCATAGTCCAGCGTATGCTAAGTATTCAGTAAGTGTTCATAGTTGCTATCATAACAAGGAACTTATTCCCCTTAGAGCTCAGCTTACCAAACATTTATACTATTTTCATTTTACATTTTCTTTCAGTCTCTTTGCATGTGATATTCTGTAATTAATGTATACTTTTTAAAGTTTTAGAATATTCTTTATTATCATAAGCATCTTCTATGTTACTCTAAAATTTTATGTCTTCTTTTTATCAGGTCAGCATTCATAATTTTCATAGCCATTCATCTATTTTTAATTTGCTTTTAGATCATTTCTGACATTTCATTATCATAAATAATGTTACAGTCTAATTAGAGTGAATACTGGATATCATTTACATGTACTTTTTAAGAAGTATTTATTTCTGAATCAAAGACTATAAATATTTTTATGACTAATTGATATAAATTTCCAAGTTGCTTTCCAAAAGTTTATTAATATTTTACATTACTACCAACAATATGAGTACTGTCTTTATTACAATATAGTCAGAATTGCAGGCTTTAATTTTTTTATGCTTTCCTAATAAGTAGGATTCCTAATAAATATGATTCCTACTAAGAGATTATTCATTGTTTTCTTTTGCATTTTATTTCTTACTAGAAAGGTTTAATATTTGTACTAATATTTATTAACTATATCTCCTATTGTGCAAATAATCTGTGTACTTTCCTATTTATCTCTTGGTTTCTTGATAATTTACTTGTTTGTCTGTGCCTCTTACATAATAAAGAAATAAACCTTAAGTTATGTATGATAGAACTGTTGCTCAATCTAATTATACTTCTCTTTAGATATTTTATTTCTAGTTGTATAGTTTATCATTTTAATGCAGTTCAAATTATTTTCTTATTTGCTTATGTTCTTATTTATTTTTTACCTCTAAATATAGAATATATTATTATTCCAGATATTTGATAAGTGCTTCTTTCTCATATACAATCAGATGAATTCGGAGACTTCCTTTTAAATTCCGATTATCTGTATTTCCCTTTTTACATTAATAGTGTAAAAATGTTTTTGTTTTGCCATTAGTTTATTATCTGGCAGTGATAGCAAAAGTCTAAATACTCTTTCTTTAATTGATCCTCACCAATTTAATGGATATCTTTAGAGTCTAAATTATATGCCTTAAAAGTCATACTCCAGCAATTTTCCACCCTCTTTCCAGCATCTGTTTTCCTTCTATGCTAGATATTTCTCATCAGCTTGCAAACATGCTATTGAAAAAGCATCATTAGAAAAAGTCAGCCTACTATACTTTTCATCTTATTACCCTATTTCTTTCTCTCTCTTTAAAGCAAAAGAGAGAATTGTTTCTATATAATTTTTTTGTTCTTCCTATCCTTCCAGTCACTCTCCAATCCCAACTATTTAGACTTTGCCACTATCTACGCCACTGACAGTGTCCTTCTTGAGGTCAGCAATGACCTCCACTTGGCCAAACTGGTGCTCATTTGACTTATCAGCAGCTCTTGATATAGTCAGTAATTCATTCTCTCCTTGAAGTTCTTTGTTTACTTGGTTTTCAAAAACCTTGCTTGTTTTTGTGTAACCCGCCAGCCACTCTTTTTGTCGTCTCCCTTGCATTGCACATTTATCCACATCCTTTGACTTT